AGACAACTTTTTGAGGGTCTTTCAATGGAGTAGAACACAATACTGTAGCTAGATATTGACCATCTCATCATGAGTTTGTCTTATAGATGTAGGACAGTAATCAACAACTGTGGAGGTCATACACTACACTAACCTAACCTAAAGACTACTTTTGTTGGAAGGTGATAAGCAGCGAATTAGTTTTTTTTTTATTTTTTTTTGTTTCCCTTTTTGACTTATGGAGTTCTCTTTTAATTTTCTTGAAACCTATTGCGATAATTCTAAGAAAAAATATTTATTTTTTATTCGAGACACTTGTTAAAAACTTTTTATTAAACATATTTGAAATCATTCTGTAATCTCGCATTTTGTTTTTGTCCCCTAGATTATTTTGATGTGTGTTTTATAATAATTATATTAGTTGAGTACTTATTTTTAGAGTTGTTTTTTTCTGCGGTAAACTAATTGATTACGCAGATTTATTGACTATTCAGAAATAAAACAGTAATAAAATTGATAATTCATGCACTACTAATTTTTTGCTTAGCGGTTCTAAAATCGTTTTTTAATTTGTACCAAAACAAATAAATTCTTTGAACCGGTTATTTGCTTTAAATAGTTGTAACATTAAAATATGTTTAACATATTATCGGTTAGTTTTCAAAATTAACAAATGAGCTATTTTTAAATATAGTTTTATCGTATCTATCGGCCGTATCTCTTATTTAACAGGATATGTTGTGTTATTTTGTTTACGATGAAGATTTAAAGCTCTTTTTGATATAATTAGTATTTCGAAGAACCATTATAGTGTGTAAAAGCCAAATGGAACAAATTAATTATTTAGGTTACTGTACATATAAAAAATCCCGAAACACGTCAAATTTAACTTAACTTGACATTATTTAACGTGAAAATGCAACCCTTACCTTCAACCCCCTTAGAATGATAGGTACAACCCCAAATTTTTAAAGTAGGAAGTATAGGCTTGTGATATATCGTTTGAAAGGTATTTTCATTCTCCATTCAAAAATGTTGTCGCTTTCAAGTTTATTAAGATTAATTAAGATAAAATAAATTAAAATCGTGTGGTTACCGAAATTCGCTAAAATATACTCAAAATTTATTTCCCGTTTAGGTCTTAATAATGAGAAAGTGAACAAAAACCATAGCAGTATCATTTTTAGATGGTAACCATTAAAAAACTTTAAAGAATTTCCGTGGCAACGTTATTTTAACACGCATTAGTAAATTGTTTTATTTAAGTTGTCAGTATTTTAATTTAAGTAAAAAGTTCGTTCAATTCAATTCTGAAAAATGGTAAGATTAACGGAAATGCATAAAATAACAGTTTTACAAATGATTGGTTACGGAGATAACACCCGAACACAACAGGAAGTAACTCGCCTATTTCATGAGAAATTTCCTAATTTACCACCTATATCCCAAGGAACAATAAGTAAAATAGAGAAGCAGTTTCGCGAGTTTGGTCATGTAAGGCAGATAAAAAAAGCAGCTGCCAATGCACTGAGTGATGAACTCAAATTAGATGTGTTGCTTGAGTTTCTGGAAAATCAACATACATCGAGTAGACAGGCATCCACTACATTCAATGCTAGCCATACATCGATAGTAAACATATTAAAAGAAAATAAATTGCATCCCTATAAGATGATACCTACTCAGGAGCTCATGGAAGACGATTTTGATAGAACTTTTTTTTGTGAGCAAATGATGGACATGTTGGATAACAATATTATCCAATTAGAAGACGTTATGTTTTCTGATGAGTGTACTTTTCCACTTAACGGTCATGCTAATCGGCAAAATTGCCGCTACTGGGCCACGGAAAATCCTCACTGGATGAGAGAAGAACACACTCAATACCCTCAAAAGGTTAATGTTTGGGCAGGGATTGTAGGAAACAATATCATTGGTCCCTTTTTCATAGAGGGCAACTTGAATGGCAACAATTATTTGGCACTACTTCAAAATGATGTCATTCCAACGTTGGCAAATTTATATCCTGATTCAGGAAACCCTCAAGTTCCAGCGAATACCATATGGTTTCAGCAGGATGGAGCACCACCACATTACCAACTTAATGTCCGGCAGTACCTCGATACAATATTTCCCAATCGGTGGATAGGCAGGCGAGGATCGATGGAATGACCAGCGCGATCACCTGATCTTACATTATTAGATTTCTTTTTATGGGGATATGTGAAGAGCCATGTGTACAAAACTAAACCTTCTGATTTAAATGACTTAAAAGAACGAATAACGCTTGCGATTAGGTAGATCACGCCTGTTATGTTAACTAATGTTAGAAGACAGTTGTATTTAAGATTAGGATGTTGCCAAGACGTTCGCGGTGAACATTTTGAACATCTACTTCATTAACATTCATAGTTCTTTTTCGTGTTCTACATTTTATTACGTTTTGCATTACATTTTAGTTTTTGATTGTATTTAGCGAATTTCGGTAACCACATGATTTTAATTTATTTTATCTTAATTAATCTTATAAACTTGAAAGCGACAACATTTTTGAATGAAGAATGAAAAGACCTTTCAAAGGATATATCACAAGCACATACTTCTTATTTTAAAAATTGGGGGTTGTACCTGTAATTCTAAGGGGATTGAAGGTAGGGGTTGCATTTTCACGTTAAAGAATGTCAAGTTATAATTTAAATTTGACGTGTTTCGGGAGTTTTTATAAATATGTACAGTAACCTAAATAATGAATTTATTCCATTTGGCTTTTACACACTGTATGTAACAGTAGAAACAAAGATCTTTATATATGACAAAATTTACAATTTGATGAAATCGGCAAGGCTGTATTTACACAAAAATTCCTCTACGGGGTAGAGCGTTTCATCCAATAAATATTTTTCGAATCGCTTTTAATTAATCATTTTTTTTAAGAAAGGAACCAACATAGAAAGAGACTTTTTAAAATTAAGATGATTAAATTTCTTTAAATGGATTTGTCGTACCTACAACATAAGGGGATGTTATAATCCAGTTTATGGACCCTCGGTTTTAAGGTTTGCACCCCCGATTTCCTCGTAGATGCGTCGACTTCCTTGAAATTTTAACAGTAGCTAGGGAATACCTCAACAAGCAAAATCTATCCAATGCCGATGCGTGCTTTTCCCCGGGAAAATTTTTATATCAAAAATAACTCGACAAATGGATAGAGATAGAGGGACACATTTTAAGCAAAACATGTTCTATAGATTCGACAAATGGGTAGATATAGAGGGACACATTTTAAGCAAAACATGTTCAATAGATTTTTTTAATTGCATATTGTTTTACTTATTCGGGATTAAATTTCTAAAGAAAAACACGTTTTGAATTGGTTTTTCAGGAATAACTTGAATATATCTTCTATTTTATAAAAAACTGTAAAGAGTAAAAATGAAGTTTATAAAAAAAAACGAGGAAATTCAAAAGAATTTTGTTATGGATTAAATCTGGACGTTTTGGATATTCTCATTCTGAGAAAAATTATGGTTTTGACGAAAAAGTAATTTTAAAATCTTTAAAAATTTCGTCGGTTGTTCAGAATAGTCCAGAATAACTGAAAACTATCAAATATGCTTAAACATTACTAAATCACAAAAAGTTTTCTATTTTATTTTTGAAGCATACAAATTAACCATGATATGATCTTTGAAAATTCGCCTTAGCGTATCAATGGTTCTGTTCTGGCAATGATGTTTAAATTGTTTTTATTTATTTATGTTTTTTTTAGTAGTTATACTTAGTTTAGTAGTTATAGTAGAATAGCGATATATTCTGCTTCAAGGAAGTCTGTAGTGACGCTGTTGGTATGTGGGGGTGCATTATCATGCATGAAAATTAAATTTTTTCCCACTGCACTTTTTCAGAATCTAACTAGAGGTTCTAGAATCCAATTAACATACATTCGAGCTATTAAACTTGGTTGAATGAAAGTTTAAAGTTTTTTCACCGACCATATTACTTCTGCGGAACATAACAATTCTTCCTTTAGGTCTGTAAACAGATCTGACTGTTTCCGTTCTTGCTTGTCTTCCTCGCCCTCTAATTACACGAGTTCATCGGTCATATGATTTTACACAAATTCTGGTTTCCTCTGAAAATAGCACATTTTGCCAATTTCCAGTGTTTCAGTTTTGGTATTGAAGACACCAATTTAGGCGATCAATCTTGTGCTGCCGGGTTAACTCGGGAATCCATAATTGTCTACTGCTCTATAGTCCTTGGGCACGAAATCTTCCTATCGTTTCAACTGAAAAACTTACACCTGTACCTTCCAAAAGCTGCTTTTAGAGTTGCGGGTGAGAAATTGTTGGGTCTCTTCTAGCTAATTGGTCAATAAAATTATCGTGACAAGAAATTGTTACTTTTTGGGGACTTTATCTTGGTCTATTCTTAAGCGTTTCTAACTCCTGATACCTGGCATAGGTTTTTGACACAACGCTTTTTGTTACACCTACCACCGTAGCTATGTCCCTCTGAGATATTCATTGCTCCACAATACCAATAATATTTCCCTTTTGCACATCCGCTAACCCCACATAAGGCATATTTTCCTTTTTGAAATCGAAAGTTAGTTTATTTATTTTCGTTCAATTTACAACTAAAACAAGTAATCCATACCGTGCCAGGCAGTGTTATATGATTGTTTTGTTGGTTTGTTTATTTTCACTAAAAACCTTTATTCTTCGCAACATTAACAAGTTTTTTATATACATATATCTATATTCATAATTTAATTACTTTATATCATATTGTATAGTTGTATTTGAGTTATTTTAATAGTTGCAAATAAGTCATGAGCCGCTGTAACGATGGTTTAAATTATTATTGTTGCTATGGGTCGTGTGTATATGACTCTTAAAAAGACAGAAAAGCTACTGCTATATCAATGGTGCGATTTCACAATCAGAACTGAGAGTGTGTATTTTTATAATTAATTTATTATCTTCTTGTACATTTATTATAATTTTTTATTGTTGCAGGAATTTTTGGTTATTTGAACTACTTGACCCCGAAGAAGAGGGAAGAAATCTTAGAATTATTGGTAAACGGTCTCAAACGATTGGAATACCGTGGATATGACTCAGCTGGTACGTATTTCGATTATTATTTGTTCACAAAAGTAACTAAAACGATTTATACTAGACTAAATATTTAATAGATTTCTCCCTAAAGTTCTTTCGCGATTGTATGTAACAATATTAAATTTAGTCCTTTGGGGTTAATAGTCTATTTTGGGCTATTAAGACTCTTTTTTACAAGATGCGTTGACCAACACATCAAATTCATTGTTCAACCTCAATAGCGAATTGTGTACTATGCAATTAATTTTTATTTTCGTCTGTTTTGCTTTATCTCTCTATTTTCTAGTTCATTACTTAAAATTTTTTTAAATTATTTTTGACATCTTGCAACAACAATATTGATATCATCAGCATATGCAAGGATTTGCACTGATTCACTGATTTGAACAGTATATATGAGAGAGGGTCTCCCTGGCGCAGTCCGTTATTTGTTTTAAAAGGTTCAGATATTCCCCCTGAATTCGTACTTTAAATTCAACTTTTTCAAGAGTTAGTTTTATTAAATTTACCAACTGATTTGGTATTTCTAGCTCTTTCATTGCTTTGAACATTTCTTTTCTATTCACAGAGTCTGAGGCTGCTTTGTAGTCTATAAATATGTGATGAGTATCTATGCCATATTCCAGTTTTTTTGTTTTAATTTTGTCTTAGTGGTAATCATTGTGAAAAAAAAATGATGAATTTGTAAATTTACTATCTCTGAAACCAGCCTGGTATTTTCCTACTATCCTTTCTGCATATGGTGCCATACGGTGACATAGTACTGTGGAAAATATTTTATACGCTATCTTTAGAAGCGTAATTCCTCCGTGGTTAAAGCATTCGAAAATATCTCATTTTTTGTGTATGGTGCAAAGTATTCCAATATTCCAATCCTTGGAGAGGGTTTTCTGTGTCCATATTTCTTTTCTAAGCTGCTGTAATGCCATTATGGTATCGTTGCTACCTTCTTTATATTGTTTAGCTAGGAGATTATCTCTTCCGGGTGATTCGTTTCTGGCTAGTTTTTTAACTGCATCTTTAACTTCAAGAATCGTTGTTGGTTAGGTTCCTCTTATTTCTCGTCTGTTCCCCTTACCTCAATGATCTGAGTCTATGTTTGCTCCTCTATCTATCTATGTAATCTAAGTTTATAGCTTTACTAAAAAATGGTATCTTGTACGTTTGTGAAGATTACAGGCCTATGAACCTAATGACTGCTTTGAATATATTCCTAAAAAATTCCTTAAAAATCAGTTAGCCCTAGACTCCAGCACAGATCAGAGGTAATGTAAGTCAATAAAACCTCACCAACTACAGGGGGTCATGTAAGATGCCCCGATTTTCAGTTTTTAGTAATCTACAAATTAACAGTCTATTGCATTTACCTTCATAAACACCTTGAGGATAGTTTTTTAATACGGAGTTCCTTCCTATGTTTTCATGTGGCCATACAATGTTTTTTTGACAACTTTTTATTAAACTGATGATGGAATGAGTCAATTCCGAAAAGATCTTTAAAATAAAAATTCTAAGCTTTTAATAAGCATTTTTTTATACCTTAATACACACGATCACCACGTGCTTTGTATTCCTAAAAATGCTTGATTGAAAAAATTTGAAGAGGTCAACAATAAAACCCAATTTAGCTATAAAATCAAAATGGGGGCAAGAAGTCATATACTTTATGCAATTGATTGTTCAAACGATAGCATTTATACATTATTACAAAGCTTTTGACAGCACAAAGCATCAAACGTTGACGAACACTCAAAAAAATTGGATTTGATACAAAGGATCAGCATGTAAGACAAGATCAGCAATGGTTAAATTCTAAAAATACATTTGTGCCGGAGGGAAATTCTTCTAAGTTTAGGTCTTCTTATGGTTTAAATGTTATATGTGATACATAATGAAGCACTCAGAATGAGAACATTGCGCAAACTATTGCGTAGTGAGATTTGAGTTGATCATGTGGCAAATGAAGAATAATCTGTTACAAGTTGCGTATTTGGGATTGGGACATATATAAAGAGAGTTATTAGATATTAAGACTAATAGAGGGAAGAAGCGGAAGAAAGCAACATTTATGGCTGTGAGATATTAGAGTTTGGTACGTAATTCTCACACTTACTAGAGAGAGACAATTACGAATAAATGTCGGATGAACGTCTACACGCTGGAAGCGTGTGGCACTAAGAAGAACGTCTGGAACTGTTTGTTCTGGAAGGTTTTCAATATGTTAGCAGTTACTATTGAAACGATGCTTTTCAGATTAGAGATGAAAAATTATATAAAACGTTTGTATTGTTTTGGATGTTGAGAGGTGTAGTCACTGCTATTACCTCGGCAAGAGTGCATGTATCAGACAGAAGGTTATTTTTATTTTTGTGGATAACACCAGCATAGTATTGGATAATTACAATGAGTTCAGAGAAATAACAGAAAACAAAGATATAATCACTACAATAAAACATAAACCACTGCAGTGGGCAAGACATCTAGCCAGAACAAATGAAAGCTTTGGAACTCCATATTCGCGTCCTAAACTGCTACATATTGCCAATGATAATTTACGGTAGCAAGATTTGGTCACTTAAAGGAAGATCGCTAAACCATATTGTTGTGTCACAGAAGGTTGCTTAAAATTTCATAGGTCGACCATATTAAAAATGAAGATGTCTTAAGGAGAGTTACTATCCAAAGAGAGTTTCTAAACATCGTTAAAGAGCGAAAGGTCTCATATATAGGCCATAATGAACAAAATTTAAGGTCGGAGAGGTAGACCAAGGTTGAGATGAAGGAATGGTGTAGATTAAAATGCCAATAAAATCTGACAACACTCTTCAACGAATAGGACGAAGGGGGGATTAAGCGTAGAAAGTTCGAACCTCAACTTAGGCTAAAGCATCGATGATGATAAAAACTTTTCCTATGTAACAAGTGAAAAGACTGTCAGAAGTATTAATACAGACATTTAACAGTCATTTCTTCAAATTTGTTACAAGACCAAAAATATAAAACAAGCTAAGCTTTACTCCATTCCATTATATATTCTTGTGTCTGTATAAACAGTTATTCTTAATCGAAAACAAATTTTTTAGTCGAGACTTTTTTATCTTTTTTTTTAAATTTTGTATAATCATTCGCCCTTGACACCTACGATTACTACACGTATCATTGCTTAGAAATAAATAAAAATTTTATGGTTTAATGATAATTAATGCAATATTTATAAATCTCGTTACTTTTGGTGAACATTTGGAATTAGCTCAACCACAGGCATAAACCGTTTTGTTAAAATAGGTGTAGCTGTCGACTCTCCCGAAGCCAAGGATATCTTCATCATTAAAAAAACTGGCAAGGTCGCACTGCTCGCCGAAGAGATAAAGAACAGTAAGTACTTTTACTTTCTAGAGATTAGTTTAATTTATTCATTAAGGAAATTTACGTAGCTATTTCCGGTCGATTATAGTTTTAGTGCATTCGGAATTGCACTACTTGCATATTGCTTTAGAAATTATACAATATTAATAGAATATTACCAACAATATGGTTTGTTTTCTGAATTATTTATTTTAAACGAGATATATTATAATAACGTATATAACGCGATATATAATATTACCTACTACACAAATTAAATATTTTTAATAAACTCCAGGTACTATGTACCTACTTTAGTCCAAATGGGCTGTTTTTAAAATTACAGAAGAAATATATTTTTTGCTGCCAAGTGTTTGAGATGACATATTTTCACTAAATATATCTTGATAATATTGAGGTATATTTCGTCGGGTTACAAGCAAAATGCACTAAGTCAAAAAAGTGGCTTTTGAGTTATTGCATTTTTAAATTTGACTCATCTTCTTATTCATAATTTAAGGATCCGCGTTAGTTTTTTTAATAAAATCTCTCACACATGTTTTAAGAACAATCTTTTATAAAAAAAATATTAAATCTAATAAAGGAAGAACTATAATAAACTAGTTTTTGTTAACCTCGCAATGACTTAATGTGTTTTACCTGAAACTGAAAAATTAATGTATTTTGCTTGTACTTTTATAATCGCATTGTTGACTTATTCGTACTTTAAAGTTTGGTCTTATAGAAAGTACTTAAATAACCTCATAGAAAATTAGTGAAAAAAATTAAAAAACGATTTTTTATTAAGTAAAATATGATAGTATAAAATTATTTAAAATGTTGATATTTTAATTTATAGTATTTCTTCATCCTCTGAATCACTAAGAGATGATGGTTCGGCTGCATTGTCCCTTACTAAGGTTGAAGTTGGTAGACTCTCGTACCAACAGTGAAGAGCAGGAGGTACAATGCTTTTTTTACAAAGTTTCACCAAGTCCCTTTTTTTTGCTTCAGAAATTGGCAACTGCTTAGTGTACAATTTAGGAATAGTTAGAATTTTTGAAACGTCCTCTTTAACATTTCTCTTGCTAAGGGTTCGTTTAAAATTAACATGTATACTTTTATACTCATCTGCAAAATTATATTTATATTGAATGACATTGAGCAACTGTTTTTGATACCTAAAACATTTCACGTTTAGCCAATTAACAGTATTTCCTTCAAAGTCTTTGTTTTTATTTATTATCATCATCTGAGCCAGTTTCTTCAAATCCAAAAATTCGTTATGTTCAATTTCTCTTGTTTTGTAAGCAGATTTATCACCTTTTCTGTTTTTTCTTGCCATTCTAAAGATATTCTCGTATTCATGTACACTAAAAATATCTATTTTGTGCTTGGCGGTTTCGATGGAACTGTGCATAGAATCCACTTCCATGTAGGAATGCCCACTCTCCATAAACTTCTGTTCAATGACATCAAGGGTTGGATGGCATTGGACAGTATGAAGCAATACAGCGGCTACTTGAATGTTCCGATTTTGGCCACCACACGTATCAGAGAAGATAGTTAAATGCATCACATTTTTTCTATTCTCTGTTAATGATTGTATATAAAGTGACAAACAGGTGCCAATTTCACAGCTACCCCTTTTTCCATTTACTTCTGTCCAAAAATAACAAAATGCGTCATTGGGTGGAGCAGATTCATAAATTGTAAAATTGTATAAGTTTAGTTTCCGTAAATAATAAAGCAAACTAATTTCAGATGTTGGAATATGTAACACACTTTGCATGTCACAGGAAATGGATATGAAACCATTTTCATCAGTTGCTCTCTGTTTGTCGGCTTCTTTTTCTTTCATCGCTGCATCCTTTCTTTCTAAATGCATCTGATACTTTTGTTCCAGCTTTGTCCTCTCCTCTGGAGCGGCCTTTTCATATTCGCTGTAAGTCATGCATTGATCCTTCTTTGGTTTGAAAAAGGAAAAATTATATTCCTTACAGAAGATTCGTCTGTAAGTAATGCTGCTTACTTTTGGCATATTATTTCTTTGGCAATCTTCTAAAAAGAGACCATGCATCTTTTTTATATTCAGATTTTTATCTAGGTAGAGTCTTTTTGTTGACTTCCTTGTATAGTGACTTTCCATCACTGGGAAACTCTCAATATGATTTTTCACTCTTAATCTAATTTCATCCGATGTTTTGTTGCACGGAATATGTTTACCTCGATTGTCTTCACCTCCATATTCCCCACTCTGACTTTTATATTGAAATGCATTGATGATTGGTAAATTTGAAATACAGAGTGTTGCACAGAAAAACTTTTGGCATACTTGTATCTTATGATTGTTACTTAAAAAGTAGTTTTTAGCATTATTTCTTTGTTTGCTGTCATTGCCCTTTCTAGGTCTACGTGTTTTCACTTCTTTAGACAAAACGTTCATTAATATAAAATCTCTTTGCCTGTTAAATTCTAAATTCCAGTAAGTACGACATAATTCAGTACGATCCTCCGGTGAAAAATTGTTACTGCATTTATACCTGCAACGAGAGCAATCAACAGGTTTAGGTAGCTTTGGTGCCTGCGTTTTTCCTGTTCTGCTTTTATAAGGTAAACCTTCAATCTTCTTTTTTCTTTCTATGCTTCTTTTCCAAAGCGCTGGTTTCGCTTGGTTCCACCATACTCGTTTCTCTTCTGTTATTGGGTTTTCTCTTTTTTGACCTGCAACGTTTTCATCTACTATCAAATTTTGTTCTTTCTTTAGACTCACCTCCCTTTCCGAACAATCACTTTCATTGTCTGACGAAACAGGCGGTATCCAGTCTCTATCTTTCATGGAATCATCGGAGTCGTACACATTCGCTACTTCTTCATCCAATTGGGACGACACTTCTACTCGTGATGTGCAAGGAATTGGTAAACTGTGACGTATATCTAAAACACAATTGAATTTTATTGACAACAATACTAAAACTTACATAGAAGTAAAAAACTTCAATTTGTATAATGGCATAAAATTTTATTAAAGACTTTTTAAAAAAGTGTCGTCCTTAACTATTTTTAATAACTCTCTATTACTGAATGAAAGGTGAAAGTATTAAAATAATTAAAATAAAATTTTGCAACTTGCAACTGAAGCTATGATATCATAATAAGTAGTAGGAAAAATAAATTTAATTATAAAACAAAATGAGTGAGTGTTGTTTTAGAGTAATCGTAAGAATGTATATTGAAGGATGAACTATGAACGTAATAAAATGTTTTAAGAGAAATTAAAAAAAAATAGTTTACCTTTGTAGTGTCAAGTGATCCAGGATCCACAGGTGTTAAAGTTGCAAAAGTTTTTTGATTTTCATTTCCATTATCATTATTTGATGGTAATATTTGAAGTATTTCTAAAATGAAATAATTTATTTTACTAACATTAGAATAAACTTTTGTAATCAAATCTAAACTAACAATAATAAACTATGTGACTCACCGTTCTCCAATTTTTTAACGTTGGCAAATATTTTGTCAATACGTTTCATAATGAACTTTTCGTTTCAAGTTCTGAGACACAACTGACTCATCAATAACCACAGATAAAGCGAGGAAGAAATATTTTGCAAGCTGAAACTTGTATAAAAATTTTATACTAAATACTAAATCATTTTTAACGGGAGTTTTAAAACCAAATTTAACCAATAAAATCCACTATGTCAAATAATTGCCTTCAGCAAAATACACTAAGTCACTTAATGGATTTTGCCTGAACAAAAATTTGTTGTTAAAGACTTAGTGAATGTAAAATTTTATTGTTTTGTGTTGTCAAGGATGAGAAAATACTTAATGGATTTTGCTAGTACATAAAGTAAACAAATTGCAATATCAATATGTAATTAAGTCAAAAATGACAAAAACTGACTAGTGTATTTTGCTTGTAACCCGACGATTTAGTGAAAAAATGGACAGATAAAAAGCTGTAATTTCTGAAAAATAGTTCAGATACGACTCCCTCTTAACCGGCCATCTCGGGACCAGAGCCTGGCCGGTTGACCAAATAGCCGGTTAATCCGATTTGCATTTTCATGAGAAAAATCAAGTACATACATACATACATAATGTATCAAACACATGTACACGAAGGTGTATATTAATAGAGATCCCGGAGTATACAGTTGAAAAATACTATTTATTTCTATGTACATATACATATTTACATATTTTACAAACTTGTTTAAAAAAAATCGGTAACTTTCTTCTGTTTGTTGATATTAAGTGAATTTTTAAAAGCTATATCTCTCCATTTTTTTTAAACCAAGACGTCTATTGAAGATGACCTAGGTTGTTGTTCAATATACTTCAATGGCATTGAATGATTTTAATTCGAGATTATCATCTTGTACACCTTCCTAGTGACGAATGCCAAATGTATATTGGGACGATAGACATGCGTTGTAGCTTTTGTAGAGAAAGTGAACATGTCCAGAACTTATCCGTTTTTTCTACAATACCATAATTTCGAATACACATAAAAGCACTATTAGTATGAGGATATATTATGTCCGGTTACTACACAAAACGAAGCGTCGTCGTTTTTCGTACTAAATTGTTAATAATAAAAAAAATCGCCAAAATTTCTGCAGAAAACGTAGCTATAGGTTTTGATGAGAACTTGCAACTTAGTGTTACTCCCTCGTAGATCCCTAAGGAAAGAGCAGGTACGCTTAAAAAACTGGATTATAGATAATTTCATTGATGGCGTATATTAATAAATTTCATTCAGTTATCTTCGTTTATATAACAATAAAACACTGAAAACATTGTTTTCCAAACTTCCACAAAATTTAATAAAATATCTTACACTACAGCTATTTCAAAAGAGTGCCTTTCTAAAGTTCCACACTTTTTCAATATTTTATTATTATATAAAATAAATTTCCATCAAATAACTGTCGAATCCATTATTTATCTTCGTTTACAACTAATAGAATGCTTAATTGATATTTAATATTATATTTAGCATTTTTAGCTCGCGAGACCTC